TATCAGAGCACTAAAAAAAATGCAATTCTTATAAAGAAAATAGCAGAGCATTATGTGTGCGTGAATAATCGTTCACTTTCTTCCACGTTTTCCTCATCAGTTCATTCAAACTATCCAAAAATCATCATGATTTTATTTACCTGTATGAAAAAAATAATAGTGAGATAATTTCTCTTAATAAATACATATTTTTTATCTTATGTAAATATTTTGATATAAAATTATTATTTTACCCTCTTTATGTAAATATTGTTATAGCTGGATATCGTTCAGCTATTTTGGCAATGGATGGTGATGAGTTACCACCATTTTCTATTTTGTTCTGGCTATCAACAAGTCTTCGGTTGACGTCACTGCATATTAATTTAATTGAAACTGGAACAAACCAGATTCGATCTGAAAAATATACCAATCGTCTGAATGTATACATATAAAAATACAGACATATATATCATTTAAAAATTAATTGATGCATGGCACGGAAAAAATTAGTGCTTGTTTGAATTGGGGTCGTCCCTTCGGCTCCAGCTGGGGTAGGCCTTCAGCAAACTCATCCTCCATGTCCTAAATATCCATATTCTGAAAACCCTCCAGCTATGTTTTATAATTGTTCCCACAAACTATTATTCATAATCATTAACAGAGAGTACATATTTTGTGTGTATGTGAACAATTTCTCTTAATAATTGCATATTTTTTTTTCTATATTATTATATTAAGAGAAACCTCCTTGTCAACTTTTTTCCCATTTTTTTCCTATTTTGTCTTCCTTATGTAAATATTATGTATAAAAAATGAGGGTAAAATTGAAAAAATAAGTATATAATTGTTATTTTCTCAACAAAAAAAAAAAAGAGAGGGTAAAATAGGGATATGATTGTTATTTTGTCAAAAGATATAAAAGACAAGCCCTCTCCTCTTAATAGAATAGAATAGATATAGATTTGCACCAATAATATAGTGTGAGTGATTAGCTATCCATGTGAGTGAGTGAATTTTAGTCTTAACCATTCATGTGAGTGAGTGTTTTTTAGAACATCTCCAAATAAGATGTCAAAATATCCAAATCAGCAATAACGATAACAAAAGACAGCATTAATGTTTTCCAACCAAGAAGCCAAATCTGATGTGGCATGACATGGAATGACATATCTCCCCCCTTGCTGCCAAATTTGACAGCACCTTCAGATTTTTTAATTAATTATTAAATGCTTTTTATTAGTTTGTTATTGGTTTAAAGCATTATCCTTTTGTTTCCTTTCATTCCCAATGCAAAGAAAATACATATGAATTTTTATTTTATATTTAAAATTTGACATATCGGTTGGGTGCCAAGATCAGCGAATGAAGCGGCAAATTTCGTCGCAACCTATGTGGGTACGGAGATGAGCAAGGAATGTAGGATGGACAGACCACCATCTTCGTTGGTTAGAATCTTAAACAAGGATGGATTGCCATGTCCTCCTTCTTAAGTGGTTTTTTGGAGTGGGGAATGACGCTTGGTTTGTTGTATTGGCGTCTACTTGTATTTGCCACTCCTTTTTGTTTTATTAATCCTGTTAGCCTTGTCTGGCTTTCCTGATGTACTTCCGTTGTGTTATGGAATGTATTAGAAATTTGCACCCGTATGATGCTGCGGGATTGAAAATCATATGAGATATTTTGCTATACCTGATCATGAAAGGAACAAATTTAGATACCAAAAGAAAAATTAAAAATCTATTTTTTCAAAGTGCAAAGAAGAGAAATTGTTTATTAAAAAAGTTGGACCAATGATCAGTATTGAGAGTATATCAGTCAAACATCATTAGCTTTTTCAATTGTTATATGCCATGAATGTAATTGGATACCGACCTGTTCCTAGCTTGAGGTGCTTTCAAGGGAAAATTGACCTTTTGTTGTGCTCTCTTGGACAGTTGTGGATACAACTGCAAAAGATAATAAAGATAGACTAGATAGTTAGCCAATGATTCAAAAAAAAAAAAAAAAAAGCATAATAAGTTCAAATTTGAGTTTTGGGAGAAAGTGGAGAGAGAAAGAGAGGTGAAGTCACCTTATAACCGGAGATCGAATGTAATTTTTTCCTATTATTGAGGTGGTAATTCGACGTGAGTCGGCAGAGATGGGGTTTGATATGTCAGAACAAAGACACATGTATGTACATCACAGACTGAGCCAGCTAATTATCTGGGGGAAGAGGCATATATAAGACATACATTTTGTGATTTAACACAAGTAAGTATTCACGGGCCTCTCGTTTGGTATCGATTTGTATCCCCTTGCCGTAATATATACTAGCAAAGAGCATACATTTTATGTGTGTGAACAATTTCTCTTAATAAATGCATTTTTTTTTAATATTACATAATTACTGCTTTATCCTTCTTATGTAAATATTATGTATCAAAAGTAAGGGTAAAATTGAAAAAATAAGTATATGATTGTCATTTTCTCAAAAAAAGAGGGTAAAATAGAAAATATAGAGATATGATTGTCTTTTGAGACTGTTTTACCCTCCTTATGTAAATATTGTGTATCAAAAGTAAGGGTAAAATTGAAAAAAATAAGTATATCATTGTCATTTTCTTAAAAAAAAAAAAAAGGTAAAATAGGAAAAATAAGAATATGATTGTCATTTTGTCAAGGTACAAAATTACTATTTTGCCCTCATTTTGTCAATAATGTGTATCAAAAGTGATGGCAAAATAGGAAAAAAAAAAGGAAAAAAGAGTTGACAAACAAATGGACCAACGGAAGAGACGCATTAAAAGGTTAGCTTCAACTTCCCTTAGACTGTTCTACAAAACGAGAAATGACTCTCTTGTAAAATGACATCTAAGAACAAAGAAAAAAAAAACCCTTGCTCTCTAGGTTGGCAAGTTTGTTCTTCTCCATCTTCTAGAACAACCCACCTCTCAAAATCTTCAAAAAATAAAATCCCCAGTACCTTTGACCATTTTAAATTGATTTGTTTGTTTTTGTTGTCAGTACCAGCAAACAACATTGAAAACTAGGATAAAAGCTTATTTGTCCACAATCCACATACCGATTGTTGTGAGAGGCGCATATGAAGTGGAACACAATGTTCCCGGGGCGGGTGCCCCTCCACATCAAATAATAAATGAAAATAAAAAGCAAGCCAAGCTGATCACTCAAAACAACATTATTGTGTGTGAAGCGTGACATACCACTTATTGTCATTAGCTTACATTAGCTTACATTCATTAGCTTACATTCTGGCGGAGTAATATGTTTTTGTCCTATTTTCTATCCCCTACCCTTCCCCTTCTGGTCGCATTGGATGGATCTTTGGTCGGACAGCCACGTGGTTGATGGGTGCATATTTTCATATATTATTATCATATATTTTGATTCGGAATGACGTAAATTTATTATAATTAACAAAATATAATATCACTTAGGTTCGATTCTCGTTAAAAACGAATTTAAATCACATTATTGTTAACCCATTATGAAACTAAATCCACCCCCTCCCTTTATAGATAATATCAATTATTCAAAAAAAAAAAAAAGTTATAGAATGAGACTTACCGTTCGATTTTTCAGTAATCCTATTATAAATGGTCTAGATACGTATCAAGAGTGATATGATTCAACTCAATATAACATATTATCTATTTTCTATATTATTTGTTAGGTATTATACTTTGTAAGTAACCTCATTAGAACTATCGGATTATCTAATGAATAATAGACAAATACAATAATGTTATTTAAAAAAAAATTTAATTCTTAAATTAAGTCCGATAATGATCTAATTTAATTTGGCTCAAATATAGATTGACAAGTCAAATATGATAATCTGAATAGATCCAGATCCATCCTACTCATGATCTACAAAAGGGATCACGGCGTGCGGCCATCATTACAAATGTACTAAAAAAAATGCAATTCTTATAAAGAAAATAGTAGAGAGCACACATTTTGTGTGTGTGAACAACTGTCTATTTTTTCTCACGTTCTTCTCAAGTGCAACCGCTTCAGTTTATTCAAACTATCTAAAAAATATCATGATTTCACTTACCTATATGAAAAAATGATAATGGGACAATTTTTCTTAATAAATGCATATTTTATCTTAATATTACATAATTACTATTTTGAGAAAGAGAATAAAGCTGCTTTGAATCGTCCGGAAGCTCCCAAATATCTATTGGCAAATTCATTTCCCATGGTCCTATCTTTACTTTGTTTGTACAAAAATTTCTTAATCATTTCTTTTTGAAGAAATGGGAATTGGTATTTTTCCCAACCAAAATTTGTGATATATAAAGCAACCATTGCATCCACATGCGTGCATCCAACCAGGTTAGAAGGAATTAAACCTTAGGAAAACTAATGAAAAGGGTTTAAAAATTTTGAGTTTTAATGATAAGGACAAAATAAACGATAAAGTGAATTGTATCAGGATTGACTTTTTAGTATAAAAATATGATTTTTCATTAAAGTGAACAGTACCATGGGTTTTTTGTAAAAATGGTTTTTACGGAAAAAAAGGTACAATTGTTTCCTATGCATGATTGATAGTCGCTCATATATGTAAAAATGGTTTTTTTATAAGAAAAAAGGTACAATTCTTTCCTATGCATGATTCATGATCAACTCACACTTACTAAAAATGCAAGTTATTTTATAAAAATGGTTTTTTTATAAGAAAAATATTTTTGTAACCAATTCTTAGTAAAAATGCAAGTTAATTCTGGAAAAACACTTTACTGCCTTTGGAACCAAAAAAATATTTTCTCTAAAAGCGCTTTCAGTCATTTTAAAAGCATATCCAAACGAATACTCAATCAATACAAATACCAGCTTCCGTCGGCATTTTTGGTAAGCAAGCATTTTTAGTAGAAAGCATTTTTGGTAAACATATTATCTCAGCTGATTAATCAAACGCGCTTTAGAGCAATGTCATCATTTGCTGTGTATGAATTTTTGGTAAGCAGGCATTGACGTGGATGCCCCTCGACATCAAATAATAATGAAATGAAAAAGCAAGCCAAGTTGATCACTCAAAAATTGCATTCTTTAAGACATACTACGTAATGACACATGAATAATGATAGAAAGTAAAATATCATATATCAATCTCTAGGCTACGTTTAGCAAGGGAACGAAGGAACCTGGTGAGTGCCTTTTCAGCACTCACTCTCGCTGCACCAATCCTTCCCGTATTTTCCTCCAAATCAACCTTCTGTTCCAATCTAGAATGCACACTTCGGACAAGTTTCCTTAGTTCCTGTCAAGTGAAGCTAGCATTAGCAACGCAGAGCAAGAAACAGAACACTATGCACCCTTACGATAAGCGAACAATTGGCATGAGTGTTAATCAACTGACTCAAGTGAATATAAACTGGTGGTTCAAGTGAATCCAACTCCATAACCAGCCCTCGCAAAGGACTTTTATCGGGAAATCAACAGTGTCACTTAATCAGACCATCCCACTCCATTAAGGATGTGGCAGAAAAACAAAAGTACAAGTGACCAAGGCAGCAATGGAACTGAAAACCTTTTACACTTAGGAAGCATGTTATGACTGTTTAAACACATTATTTGACATTAAAGACACTGCTGTTGAGATGGCATTCAATTTACCTGACGGTCAAAATCAACATTTGAAATTGAATAAACTTCATTGGTGATCTTAATGTCCTTACTGATCAGACCATCAAACCATCTGGTCGCTTCATCAATGTGAGAACCCTGCATTCAATGCTCAAGTAATCAGATGAAATACGTCCATAAACAACTTACCAAATTTCAGTAATCTTTCTTGCACAATTTCAAACAAGTAATGGAACGTACCTCTTCTTCCTCCTCACAATCAGTTTCTTCCGCTTCTTCTTCGTCGGCAACATCATCAACCCCCAATGTTTCCGGACCTGATAAAGCTTGCAGCTTACTTTCATCGCTATCTTTCGTAGCCTGAATCAAAGCATCCATCAAGTCGGCCTCCACATCCCGCAGCAGTTTCCCTTAACACGAATTGAAAATATTTTTGTAAGATAAGATCAAAAATTCACAATGCATACACAAATGTAAGATATGATTGAATTAAACAGATTCCAACCAGGGTACAAAGTTGTTGCATCACATACCAATATAATTGAACTGCCTTCGCTTCCCTTCTCGAACATCAGGTCCTAGTTTCTGCGGCATTAACACAAACACCTTAGCTGCAACAGCTGAAATCAATAGCTAACACTCGTTTGAACAGAAAAGAATAAACTAACCAAGCACCTTCACTAGTATCACAGCATCCAACACGTCTTGGTCCAGAGAAGCCACTCTGCATCCCCATCAAATTAAAATCCATAACTCGAAATAACTAAATGTACAGGGACTTTTTTCAAAATTTGAAGTTTTAGGGGGTGAACCTGACAATGCGTTTGATTTGAGGGGTGGAGAAGGAGGCGAGGTCCATAGCCCAACGGACGGCGCATCGGGCGTGGCGCTTCAACTCGTTGCGGCTCTTGTACGTGACTGCATCCGAATCCGAATCTGAACCCGAACTGGCGGTGTTGGCGTCTTGGTAATCGGACGGTCTGAGCCCGCGTAATAGTTTATGGACGCCGCGAGTGCCCAGGTGGACGGTGGTCAAAGACGGACGACGGGAGTTGGTTCTCGTGGTGACCGGAAGTAAGGGGGAGAAGATAAGGTAGTGGAAGGCGGCGTTTGAGCAGCAATGCTGCTGCCACATCGGCCATTGCCTCAGAAGCCGTCCCGCGTGAGCAGCCATCGCCTCTCTTTCCCTCTCGCTGGTGATTTGCTATACCAGCATCACATTTTATCTTCCTTGTCTTAAAAAAAATAAGGGTAAATTGTAGCAATTATTCCTCAACTTTAATCAAATTTGAATAATATTTCATCAATTAAAAATCTATTAACATTGGGTCCTCAATTCATCAAAACGTGTAGTTATGATCATTTTCATCAATTTCGTGAGAATTTTGTGAAAATGAGTTATTTTGGAAGAATCATTGCTACAATTAGTTTAAAGTCCAAGGACAATTTCTCCAATTGGGTTAAAGTTGAGGAACTATTTCTCCAGTTAGACTAAAGTTGTTGAACCATTGGTAATGGATTTTTACTTGAAGAACTATAGTTGCACGTTTTGGTAAATTAAGGAACCAATAGTAATTGATTTTGAATTGATGGATCATCGTTCTAATTGAGTTAAAGTTGAAGAATTATTGTTACAATTTACTTAATAAATAAATAAATGAGCAAAGGCCCAGGCCCATTATCAAAGACTTCAAACGGCCTATAGTTGAATTGGGTCCCCTTCGGACTCAGCACATGTTATTTGGGCTGGTCTGTTTCACTTGACCACTTGTTTGGGAGTTGTTCCAGTACGACTAAAATGTTTACTGACATCAAAAAGCATTTTGGATGTTCTAGATTTGTCGGTAGATGCTAACAACTTCATATGCATGTTCTCAAAATCTATGTTGAGGAATCAAGTCAAACTTTGTCGACAAATACCCAAACACTTTAGTTGCAGGTGGTCCAAATCTATCAACAGACGATTGAGGCTTGCTACCTAGACTTTCGCCAGGTAATGCTAGGTTGGTTTCCCTACCATTATCCTTTATCAATGGTTGTCAACATGTTACAATGCACGTGTAGACATCAAAATTTCGGTGAAATAAATGTTGACCAAAAATTAAAATTTCAACGCTCACGTATCACATAAATTTTACATGTAGCGTGTGACTCAACGAAAAATCGAAATAAATTGGAAAAGTCATCAAATAGGACACATGTCAATACCTGGCAGAAATGATTTATTTCATCTGATTATTTAAATCCAAAAATCAAGTTTTGGAATTCTATAAATAGGAGGCCAAGGCATTCATTTTGAGGGCAAGGAAAGAAGAGGAAAAGAAGAAAAGAAGGAAGGAGAAGGAGAAAAGAAGAAAGAAGGAAGAAAGAAGGAAGAAAGGAAGAAGCCTTGAAACTCTAAAGCTCTCAAGCAAATCCCGAAGGATCAAGAAAGCAATCTTCGTTCTTCGTCAAATCCACCTTTAAGATCAAGCCCCGACGGCCCTTGAAGAACTTCCACCAACTCAAGATCAAGCCCCGACGGCCCTTGAGGAAAGTGTTCATCGTTCATCATCCGTTCAATTCAAGATCAAGCCCCGACGGCCCTTGAAGAACTTCCACCAACTCAAGATCAAGCCCCGACGGCCCTTGAAGAAAGTGTTCATCGCTCATCATCCGTTCATCCTAAGATCAAGCCCCAACGGCCCTTTGGATCAACAACCTCAACAAATCCACACATCCAATCGTTCTTCAAGATTAAGCCCAAAAGCCCTTGAAGATCCGCTCATCCATCAACCTTCAAGATCAAGCCCCAACGGCCCTTGAAGAACTTCCACCAACTCAAGATCAAGCCCCGACGGCCCTTGAAGAAAGTGTTCATCGCTCATCATCCGTTCATCCTAAGATCAAGCCCCAACGGCCCTTTGGATCAACAACCTCAACAAATCCACACATCCAATCGTTCTTCAAGATTAAGCCCAAAAGCCCTTGAAGATCCGCTCATCCATCAACCTTCAAGATCAAGCCCCAACGGCCCTTGAAGAACTTCCACCAACTCAAGATCAAGCCCCGACGGCCCCTTGAAGAAAGCGTTCATCATTCATTATCCGTTCATCCTAAGATCAAGCCCCAACGGCCCTTTGGATCAACAACCTCAACAAACTCATACACCCATTCTTCAAGATCAAGCCCAACGCCCCTTGAAGATCCATTCATCAACTGTTCATCCTTAGATCAAGCCCCGACGGCCCTTTGGATCAACAACTCATCCACAAACCTACACCCTACGAAGATAGAATCAGAGGACCAAATTACAAAGAGATTGTAACCCCAAAATCTTTAATACAAAAAATATATTTTGTACACGTGTTCTTGTCTCTTGTTTCAGGAATTTTTCGTGTTTACAAATTTGGCACGCCCAGTGGGACCATCTCTACCTCTCATCTCTATCCTCAAATCATCAAAAACGCAAATGGCATCAAGAAAGGATCAAGCTGTTCCTGCAATCAAAGCAAAGAACAAGAACATCATCGCCGCAAGTGGTGATATTTCGAGCATCATAACCCGAAGTAAGGCAAGAGATCTTTTTGCCACGGCTTCCGCCCCTGCATTAACTCTGTCAAAGGAACAAGAGCACCTGAGGTACGAGCCTGTGATCACCCTAGCCTCGCTAAGGGCATCAAAAGGGGAGAGCCCAAGGAAATATTCAGAGTCCCTACTCTCCGACGCTGATTCGAGCGGCAGTACAACCATGCAAGTCATGACCACTGGAGCAACTTCAATCGAGGAGCAGCTAGCTCAGATGAATGAAGCAATCGCAAAGCTCACACGAACTGTGGAAGAGAAGGACTTGCAGATTGCCGCACTTGTCAACCAACTAGATGCGCTGCCCGACGTGAAAGTCGACCCAATTGTTGGCCTATTAAAGAAAGAAGGCGACGAAGAGGAGGAGCCACCAGTGGAGAAAGTCGAAGAGAAGCCGAAGCTAGACCAAGCCACGACATCCATGGGATCTCTCTCTATCCAGCAACTACAGGAGATGATTGCAAGCACTATCAAGACACAGTACGAAGGAAGCTCGCATGACTCCGTACTGTACTCAAAGCCTTACTCCAAGAAGATTGATGCTTTGAAGATGCCAAGGGGTTATCAGCCCCCAAAATTCATGCAGTTCGATGGAAAAGGCAACCCGAAGCAACATGTCGCCCATTTCATTGAAACTTGCAACAATGCTGGGACAGAGGGAGACTACCTCGTCAAACAGTTCGTGCGTTCGCTGAAAAGTAACGCTTTTGACTGGTACACTGACCTCGAACCTGAGTCTATCAACAGTTGGGACCAGCTAGAAAGGGAATTCCTCAACCGTTTCTACAGCACTCGTCGTACTGTAAGCATGCTAGAGCTGACCAGCACGAAGCAGTGGAAAGATGAACTTGTCGTTGACTACATAAATAGATGGCGTTCTTTAAGTCTGGATTGCAAAGATCGGCTTTCTGAAACCTCTGCCATTGAGATGTGCGTTCAAGGCATGCAGTGGGGACTACACTACATCCTTCAAGGCATCAAACCACGAACATTCGAGGAGCTAGCCACCCGCGCCCATGATATGGAGTTAAGCATCACCCGTCATGGGAAGAAAGAACAGATCGCCGACTACAAGAATGACAAAGTTTTGGGGCCAAAGGTGGATAAGGCTACGTGGAAACCTACCAAGGAAGCAATGGCGGTCAACACAACTCCAGTCAAAATCCCTACACGAAGCAAGGCGATTCAAACCGAAGCTTTTCGTGATCAAGAGATACGTAGACGCACTTTGAAGGAGCTTGAGGAGAAGACTTATCCATTCCCCGACTCTGACGTGGTTGCCATGTTGAAAGACTTGCTTGACAAAAAGGTGATCGACCTCCCTGAGTGCAAACGGCCAGAAGATATGAACCGTACTGACAATCCAAGGTACTGTAAATTCCACCGCTTCATTAGTCATCCGACGGAAAAGTGCTTTGTGCTAAAAGATCTCATCATGAAGTTGGCTCAGAAAGGGATCATCGAGCTAGATCTTAATGATGTGGTGAAGTCAAACTATACCACCGTCACTTCTGGCTCTTTGAACTCAAAATCTTCACCTCAACCGCTGGGGGCATGCTCCAAAACCATGCCAGTCAAGTCAAGTGAAGTTGAAGAATGGACTTATGTCACTCCAAAGAAAATGCACAAGAAACATAGGTCTCCTCCACAAGTTCGCCAATCGGAAAGGGGGCAAAGCAGCTACTGTCAACCTTCAAAGCTACATGAAAGTATTGAGGATGATGAAGTTATGACACAAAGATCGTCCGTTGCCATCACAATGCGCGATTTCTTCCCCAAAGACTTCTTCAATCACTCAGTCAAGACTCCTTGCTATGAAGATTGCAAGGAATGCCCCTCTAAGATCGTTTGACAAATTCAAAAAAAAAAAAAAAAAAAGCTCCTCGTTCGCACGAGCCTAAAAGGCGACAACCAAAGCTCCTTGTCCGCACGAGCATAAAAGGCGACAACAAACGCTCCTTGCCTGCATGAGCTGAAAATGCAAACGGCACCAAGACGCTCCTGGCCCGCAAGAGCATAAACTGTGTACGGCAAAATCATCATCAAAACCATCACCCATTTGAACTACGTTATGACTTGATCTCTTCTTTGGAAGAGTACGTAGGCAACTTGAAACTTCAAAACTTCAAGTACAGTCACATCGAAATAAATAAATAAATGTTTCATTAAAGAAAGTCAATTTTATTACAAAAGAAAAGAAAAAAAAAATACATATGTCACTATGTATTAAAAAAAAAAATATATATATATATATATTCTCTATTCAAAAAAAAAATAAAAAATACATATGTTGTTATGTGTTAAAAAAAAAATAAATATAAATTCCTTCTCGGCCCAAATAACATATACAGTAGCAGCCCCAGGCTTAGCAGATGGACCTTAAGGCCCGAGACAAAATGGACGGTGCAGACCTTCGTTGAAGCCCAAATCCGGGCCCAGGCACAGCTTCGACATCGCTTCCGTTTCTGCACCTCATCTTCTGCTACTCCTCTTTCCAAAGCCAGCGGGCCCTACTCACTCTCAAAACCGCCATACACCCACAAAAAAATCAACCTCCACAATGCATAAAACTCCTTCAGGCTCCACGCTGGGCGCCGGTGACCATCCTCAGCCAAGACCTCGCCGACGAGCTCCCACTCTCTCTTTCTCCCCCACTCTCT